AGTAAAACAGGAGCAATGCATGGCGGAGTGACCCGGAGAAAAACATAACTGACAAACAACTGGGGGTGGAAGAGACTGATAGGACTGATCCACAGATGGAAAACCTGCACTGAGCTTGCGAGTAGAAGAAATAGGAGAATAAACAGTACAATTAACACCAGAAGTGAAATATATTACACAATGTCGAACCTGGAATTCCAGAAAATGTAGGTCCACGGGGTGGTAGAGGAACAGGTTGCTGCTGTCCATATTGCCCGCCATACGGCCACCTCGGCCTCGTCCGCCACGAGCCCTACCACCGCGCTAGCCACGTCCATCAGGACCTCTCGGAGCACCCCCCCTCCCCGAGGAGCACCCCCTCGGCCACCAAGTGCTGCGGGTGCATTAACATTGGCCGCTGTAAATGCTTGATGTACCGGTGCCGAGTCCTGAGCATCAAATAGTGCATTTGTCTTCTCCTGTGCTTCAAGAATAGGCCTCAAATTGTCCAATGTCGCATTGCCATGGAAATAATTGATAGCCGTAATAAGTGACTCATAGCCATGTCCCAGTCCAAGAATGGCATATTCAATTAATTCCTTGTCGCTAACTGGAGAGTTTATAGCTGCTAAATTTTCTGCCAAGATCTTAATTTCCAATAAATATTGATCCATATTTTGTGAAGATTTCTTTTTGATATGTGATAAGGAACGTTTAAGTTCTATGGATCAGGAAAAAAAACATGCAGACATAAAGCGTTGTTGAAGCCTATCCCAAATAAGCTGTGAATGCTTAAGATTATAAACATCCATTAAAATATCTCTAGCCAGGGTCGCAAAAAGCCAAGAACGGATGGTTTGGTCAATTTTAACCAATGATGGTAGTCTGGGTTTATTGTTTCCCTCCTACTCAAGTCCAGTATGATGGATGGCGGAACCGGAATGGATCCATCTAGCATCCCAAAAAGATTGTGGGATACTAGAAAAGACTCAAACTGAGTCCGCCACAACAAATTGTCCCCAACCGCAGATAATCGAGTGGTCACAATGTTATTAACATTTGGTGTAGAAAAAGCGAGTTGAGATGCCATAGATGATAATAAACTCAGAGCTTGAGTAAAACCTGGTAGAAAGGACGAACTGCCTTGCTGCAGCGGTGCGATTCCATGTTGGCCAGAAAAGGTGGGACCCGAGAAGCCAAGAGAGAGCCTCCCGATGTCTGGCAGTGCGGATGCAGTTGGCTGCGGGGCAGTAGGTGGCGTTGGCGTCCAACTGAATGACTCCGGCATATTAAACAATCGGAACAAGTCTAAAGGTGGAATGGTAGACATCCGTTGAGAGATAGACGCTGGAAGAGGCGAACGAATGTGCATCGCGCCTGAGCCGATCAGCAAGAGGGAACATGGAGCCGAGGTACGCGATGTGCTGGAGCCGGTCGACGCATCAAACACTGTAGATGCCGGTGGTGCGACGGATGGTTGCTCCTGTCCTACGGGCGCCGATTCCGAAGTAGCTGGAGCGGAGATCATGATGGCGGCGACGGTGTTCTGCCCGACCATAGGATCGGTGAAGAGGTTTAGAAAGCCCTAGCAGCTGATACCATATACAAAACAATAGAATTGGGAAGTAATAGCTTACCCTATTGGGTGCCGTATGCTTATATTTATAATAAAACGTAATTAGGAAAATTAAACATAAGTCCCAAGATAATACATTATTATTCTCTTCTGATCAAATAAGTTTTGGTGATCTAAAATTGAAATTAATCCAAGAGCAAATATCATTGACCCATTCAAATATCCTTTCTTTTTTCTAATCTGTTAAAGTGTAAATTATTATTATTATTATTATTATTATTATTATTTATTATTTATGTACAAATGTTTACGTAGCAGCACATCACCGCATGGTTCTTCTGTTGATGATAGTAATAGTAATAGTAATAGTAATAGTAATAGTAATAGTAATAGTAATAGTAATAGTAATAGTAATAGTAATAGTAATAGTAATAGTAATAGTAATAGTAATAGTAATAGTAATAGTAATAGTAATAGTAATAGTAATAGTAATAGTAATAGTAATAGTAATAGTAATAGTAATAGTAATAGTAATGGTAATGGTAATGGTAATGGTAATGGTAATAGTAATAGTAATAGTAATAGTAATAGTAATAGTAATAATAATTTACACTTTAACATAATCTACTATGATAAATTTGATCATCTGTTTTTTTTTATGGTCTGATTTGATGTTCTTCAACTGTGCCAACACAATTGATAGTTACAACTGATTAATCATAACTACTCTCATAAAACTTATTAAACTATTATTTGGGCCAACGTTTTCTTGTAAGGTATGATGGTTTATCATACACCGTCCTGATAAAAGCATTTCAAAGTTGAGGGTCCTATAAGTTTAATGCGATTAGAATGGTTTGCCTATTCAGGAAGAACTTCTTCATGTGCTCATGTCTCTCTTCAAAGACCCAAAGAGGCCCCTCCTTCACCATTTTGACACACATATATCTACATATATATACCCCCATTCCCAAGTATCCAAAAACCAACTCAAAACATTCCTTCATCTCCAATAAAACTTCCAAGTTCCAACACATTCCTCTTAGTAATTTGCAGAAAGAAAAAGTAAGATCTTATCTTTACAGAATGGGTATCATCAAGAAGTCATCAACAACAAGGAATGTCCCAAAAGGCCACTGCGCAGTTTATGTAGGAGAGAATCAAAAGACAAGATTTGTCATCCCAATTTCATATTTAAGTCAACCGCTGTTTCAGGAATTGTTGAGCAAAGCTGAGGAGGAATTTGGGTTCACTCATCCTATGGGGGGTCTCACCATTCCTTGCCGGGAGGAGGTCTTCGTTGATATTGCATCTCATTTGAGCAGGATCTGCTAACCCACTCCTAGAGCAAAAGAAAAAAAGATAAGAAGAAGTTGAAGAACTGGTTTTTATCAAGTCTGATATGCCCGGCCGAGTTAAGACTTGCACCATTTTTTTCGAAATGTTATGAAGCATTTCGTTATATCATACTGTACCAATTAGCACTTGATAGATACAAGAAATATACTGTAGATTTTTATCAATTTATGGTTTGTGATATATACAAATCATAGTAGTTGATCATTACATGTACAAGTTAATTGACTTACAACAATATATATCGTACTACCGATTCCACTTCTCCTTTCCATCAAAGTATCAAACATGTATAGTCTACTATTCATTCCAGTTTCATATTGAAATCCTATTCAAAGATTCAGGAGTTTAGAATCAGAATCGGTTTTTTAGAAGTTTATTTGAGCCATCAGAATTATTTCTACACTTTCACCTCCAAATTTAATTTGATAGGGCCTCCATTTTAAAAAATAATAATATTATATATACCTTAAATCTTTAATTAAATTAATTACTCCGTAAAATACTTAAAAATTAGTGTAGAACAAAAGATATGTTGATGCAAAAAATCAAATTATCAAGATTAACCATGTTCGGTGATATATTAGAAAATAATGACAAATATAGATCTAAATAAGAGTGAATAAAATATGTCTTTTTACACTTTAGTGACTATAACTTTAATAATCATGATTGTGTTAACTACTACCCCCCGTCCCAAAAAACTTTGTCATTTCCAAACATTTGCACCTTAATTTTGATTAGTATAATATTATGTAAGTTATAAATTTTACTTTTATCAAAGTACTTTTAACAAAGAACATTTTCATATAACTTTTATATTATAAATCATTTTCAATAAAAAGATATATCCGGTCAAAGTTTTGAAAATGACAAAGTTTTTTGGGACGGAGGTAGTATAATGCATATGCATAGACAATAATTCAACATCCTAATTCAAGTATATTTAGAGAGATAGTTTTGATGTGTACGTATATAATATAATGAGTTATAAATGTATTATTTTTAATATTTTATTATCAAATTGTCACTTAAGACTTAAGAGAGTTAATTGTTTTCTAAAATAGAAAGTGAAAACATTTAGTTGAAATGTCTAAATTAGGACGTCCTTTAAATTTTTAGGCCCCAATCATCCCCAAATTTGTAAAATAGTTATATATTTTTATATGTTAGAAGATTGTGTAAAAGATCATCCGGAAAAAACTAACCAAGCCACGTTAATATTTCTTTCTGGCTATGTCATTCCTATTTGTTTCTTATTATAGTTTTGTATTTTTTTACTAAAAAATATATTGAAGTTATATTCTCTCTATTCCGCTAAAATTGTCTCATCTTTCGTTTTCAGCCTATGCATTAAGAATGTCACATGTCAAATTTGACAAAATTTGTGTGGTTCTAAATCATACTTACTTTATCATTTGAATATCAATCACATAAACTAGCTTTTCTTAATAATTGTAAAACTTTATCATAACCTAGCGTTAGTGAGACGTGAGTACGTTGTATCACATAATTAAATACGAAGTATTATTTGGTTGTCTAGTGCCTCAAAATTGCTCTAGACGGCCCTGCTTAAACATTACAAAATCTACTTCTACTTCCAGAGATAGCTTGCACTCTGCAAGAGCACTTTCGAGAGGCAGATCCAAACACTTCTCGATAACAAGCTATTATGTTCAGGGGGCTAGGGATGGGCCGGTTCTGGTCGGCCCGGCCCGCCACTGTGCAGGCCTGGCCCGGCCCAGTGAACTGTCCCGAAAACCGGACCTAGGACCGGCCCGGAGTGTTAAAGCGGTGCGGTTCCCGCCCTACCCTTCCTTTTGTACCGGCCGGGCCAAGAGGTCCATGCCTAGGTGGGAGGGCTCTAAAGTAATACCCCCTCCATCCCGTTGGAATGTTCCCGGTTTGACCTACACATATTAAGGAAATAAACTTACTAAGGGGTAAATTTTACTGTTTGGACACTGTTTGGACACTGTTTGACAATGTTTTGCATTGTTTGACACTGTTTTGATATAGGATAACTTTCCATTTAGGGAAATTGGAACTTTCCATTGGGACATCAAAAAAGAAAGTGGGAACCAAGGGAACGGAGGTAGTAATCCGTAATCTTGTCCAGCCCCAAGATGAGTTGGGAAGCTTCAGAAAAGAAAACGGACGACGAACCCTTCACTCCAGGCCGCCTGCGGCCTGCCGCGCTGGTAGTAGTGCCCTGCGCGGCTGCCCCTTTGGCCTTCTCGGCTTTCACCCCTAAGACCCGTTTAGGTTTCAGGTACTCCTCGTCTACCCAGCCTTGAGCCTCCTTCCTTGATTAATTGTTTACTGTTTTTTTGAATAAAACGAAATGTCAGCCTTGAGCCTCATTCGTGATTTGATTACTTTATTAATTATTTCGTCAACTATTAGGTATGACAATTCAGTCGATTGTGCAAGCCGGACCAAAGACCATAACACAGCTTTTGGACCATTTCACTGAAATAAAGAATCTAAGAGTTGTTAGGGCAATTCATGCTCACCTGCTCATAACAGGGGTAATATCTTTCACTCCCACTCTCCAGACCAAGATTGTATTTGCTTACACCACAAGCCATCCCCCGAAAAGCAACCTCCTTCTCTGGACCTTAACCAATTCTTTGAGAACCCTTAATCTCAGAAACCCTTTAATTTTTAACTCCATTATCTCCGGATTTTGCGAACGCGGGTATCATTCACTTGCTATGCAGACCTTTTCTTTCATGCACTCAAATGGCGTTTACATAGACTCATACGCGTTGTGTAGCTCAATAACTTCTGCGTCTTGCACCAAAAATCTCGAATTCGGTGAAAAAGCTCACACCTTTATAGAAAAGTCGGGTTGGTTTTCTAGTGTGTATGTCGGTTGTGCCATGATCGACTTATACACAAAATTGCAATGCATCAGCAGTGCAGCTTCACTGTTTGACGAAATTCCCATAAGAAACAGTGTGTGTGCTAATGCACTTTTATCCGGCTACACTGAGTGTAAGATGTGGGAGAAGGCACTTGCATTAGCCAGAAGGCTGCCTTCTTTATATTTAGAGATGGATCATTTCACGTTTTCCGCTGTTTTGCGTGCATGTATTGGGATTTCTACAGTTGGATTGGGAATGCAGGTCCATGGATGTGCCATTCGTAAAATTCGTTATATGGAAAGCGATGTATTCCTACAAAGCTTGCTGATTGAAATGTATGGAAAATGTGGGCTCTTAGAAAAGGCTAGACAAGTCTTTAGAATGACAGCGAGAAATAGAGATCTTGTTCTATGGACTTCAATGCTTGGTGTTCTCGGACGAAATGGGAGTTACGAACAAGTGATAGCAGTGTTCACAGAAATGGTAACCAAGGGAATCAAACCGGACGGTGTGTCGTTTTTGACAGTTATCTCAGCTTGTAGCCACACTGGCCAAGTGAACCTTGGAATGGAGTATTTTGAATCAATGGCTCGTGATTATGGATTAGAACATAGTCCGGAGCACTACAGTTGTCTGATCGATTTGCTTTGTCGCGCAGGAGAGTTAGAAAAGGCATGGAAATTTGTAGAAGAGTTTTCCTCCAAAGGAAGTAGGGGTTTCACTGTTTCCATGTGGGGAGCACTGCTTAATGCCTGCAATGATAGTGGGAATGTGGAATTGGGTAAATTTGCAGCTAAGAAGGCGATTGAGTTGAATCCTCATAATGATGGGATATATGTTATGTTGTCCAACTTATATGCAACAAACAGTATGTGGAGTGAGATTGAGGAAGTGAGGGAACACATAAGAGGAAAGGGGCTAAAGAAAGACATTGGCTCTAGTTGGATAGATGTTGCGACTTGAATTGCACTAGTTCGTTGTGCTAAGAAACCTTGACGTGTAAATTACAAAGCCCCCAATTGGCAGCCTTTATCGGCTAATTCTTGCTTATTACACTTAAGCAGAATACGAGTGTGTTTGGTAACACAGCTGTGGGGTGAATCAGCAAAATCGGGTGAAAGTGCATGACTTGTGGCTGAATTTTCTAAACAGGCCACAAATTCCCATATACATGAATATTATTATACCACAGCAGCTTCATTCAACAATTTCATATCATGTTATCACCACCCTGTGTGCCTTGTAAATCTTTGGCATCACTGCAACATTCCAAAGTCTAGGAGAGAATACACAAATGATTATTCGTATAAGGTAACATTTTGTTTCATCGCTGCATTATATGAATATTCACGCTTTTCACTCATGTTTCTCAAGTGTTGTTACTTGTTTATGTAGGACTGCTTCTTTACACAACAATTGGATTTGTCTAGAGATTGGGAGTTAAACTAACAATTGGATTTGGATTCTTTAATGTAGGACTGATTCTTTACTTTAACAATTGGGAGTTAAAATAAAAGTTATGTATCAGTTTTTGACATTTTTGTGAAGACCTTGCTCTAGGGTTCTCTGAAAAATCTCTAATTTTCGCTGCAAGCTTTCATGTAACCGTTTTCCTGTAGAGGTTGCGATTAAGAAGATGGGTGTCCAAGTACTAGCTTCTAGATGATGCCTTTGGTATAATCATAAGTGACTGTTGAACATATGGTCATTAAATGAGGGTATGTTTGGATCCTGGAAATTGCTAGGTAATGAATATTGCGAATAAAATATGGGGCAAAATTTTAAGCATCTGGGGAAATAAAGAATAGATTTAAACTCAAAAAATTTAGTTGGATATATGTAAATATATAGTTGAATACATTTAAAATTTCAATTATGGAAACAATATAAAATCTTTCTATATGTAAATATCAATCATATGACATTATTACACTTTCCTTTGCAATTTAAATAATTGTCCCAAATATTTGTAAAAAATATATATATAACTACTTTCCCAAAGCAAGATAACATCTATATGCGTCATATTTGGAGAGACTTATTATGCTTTAGGCAATTTGTCTTGAATTTTACAACATAAAACCAAACATTTTCTTCACATTTTTTGCCTTTGCATTTTCCAATGTAAAATCAATTATTTGAAGCCAACTGTCAGTTGCATTTGCATTTCCCTGGACCCAAATACACCTTACAGGGGGTTGCTAAGAAAATTTGGGGAGTGTTTGGATAAAGGTCTTGGGAATTCTATGTACTTTGTGATGTCAAAGTTGCTAGATTCAAGTCTCAAAATGATCCCTGGTAGTGCAAAAAACATTATATACGTAGTATAGAACAGCCCTGCTTCTTGTACATGCCGCCGAGTTGCACACGTCGTGTAAACACAGTCAATGAAGGCTACTTTTGTGGTGTTCACAGCAGCTTGTACACGACGTCTACTTTTTTTTCACCGTGTATAAATAGTTTTTCTATATATAAGCGTTGTTGTGATAATTGAGAAAAATTTGTTTCTTTAATAAATAAAAAAAGTGCCCCTTCATTTGTTTCACCATTTGTTTTTTGCAAAAACAAAATTACTCGTAGTTGTTATCAATTAAATTATGGCTCAAGATAACATTATAGCGGATGGAGGAAAATGATTCCAAACATAGCTATGTGGCATAGAATGAGCGGCCCTTGCAAGATTATGGGCCACCCATACCCAAACTGTTCCACCATTTATGTGCATAACAGGGAGAACACACAATTGGTTTAATTATTGAAGTTGGCCACATTGATATTCAACAACTATTCTATTGCTATTTTGTGCATGTAATCTATCTGGAGGTCTTTCCTTTTTTGCCAAATGTGTGTGGCCATTTATGGTTTAAAGTGAAATATAGAAAATGGGGAGAAAGAAAATGAAGAGGAAGAGTTTATTTTATGTTGGTTATATTTTATGTCCGGGTCAGGCCTAGGCCCGGCCGGGTCTGGATAGCAATGGGTTAGGCCCGGGACTAGCACATTTGTCTACCGGTTCCGGGGCGGGTTTGGGTCGGGCCGGGTCCGGTTCTATTTTTTATTTTGTTTTTTTGTTTTCTTGATTATTTCATCCCCTATCCCCTATCCCCCATCCCCCAAACCCATCGGAAACACCCAGCCCAACCCATTTAAACCTAGCCCAAACCAAAAAAAATTAATAATAAAAGGCCGGTTCACATTTAGACAGTCCCGGAACCGCCCCGGTTCCGTCCTAAAACCGGGCATAGACCCGGAATTGGTACCCGGTTCCTGGGTCGGGCCCACACAGTACCGGGCCAAGCCGGTTCCCGGGTCGGGTGGCCCACACCGAGGCCATCACTAGCAGCTATAGGAAGGAAACAAGATTAACAATACCAACTAGGATATGCTGTTTGCATTTTCTTCATTTAAAACCCTTCTTAGCATCATTATTTTGAATTCTGATGGAGACAGTTTTCTTTTCGACAATAAAGTTCTCTCTTGTTTTTAAATAGACTTCATTCCCTTAATCTATTGTCTTTATTTTGGATATATTCCTCTTATACCGTTATACAGAGTATCAGATTAATTCTGTTTCTAAAATAAAACAATAGTACTGTCATTTACTCATTTTCTATTCTTTCTTTCTTACTCTCTCTCAAATCATTCTCTCCTAAAGTGCTGTCCAACTTATTAAGGAAAAAATAAATAAAATACCCCAAACTTTGAAGGGGTGTGAGGTAAGCACCCCAAACTTGCATATGTAATTTAAGTATCCTAAATTTTATATAAAAAGTTATTTTAGCACCATGATCATGCATTATTTCTTTCAAAAATGTTAATTTTTTGTGTTAATTTCATAATTTAAAATATTTTAGCATTCATGAAGATACAATTAACAGTCTAGACTTCCATTGTAAAATAAATAATACTACCCCAACTCTATATAGTTGGAGCATTTTTGAATTTTTTTTCTGAATTATGCAATTAACATCAATTTCCATTTTTGAAAAAAGTAATATATGAACATGGTGCTAAAATAACTTTTTATATAAAGTTTAGAGTATTTAAATTACATATGAAAGTTTGGGGTATTTATCTCACACCACTTCAAAGTTTGGGGTATTTTAATTATTTTTCCCACTTATTAAACCATTTTTTGTATATGTTAGAGCATCTTCAACGGTACAATGTGCACGGTGCACACGTGGCATGAGAGATGACCACATAAATATTAGCAAATAAATTATTTCTCTCCTTATTTGAATGATTTTATACAGTTTTGGTAAGTTATTCTCCACAATGTCAAAGAGACCGTCTAATGTTGACATTGTTGTTGACATTGCAGGGAAAAACTTACTAAAATTATATAAAATCATTCAAATAAGGAGAGAAATAATTTATTTACTAATAATTATGTGGCTATCACCCATGACACATGTGCACCGTGGACATTATAGCATTGAAGATGCTCTTAAATGTTGAGCAGTAGACCATGAGGGCTCCACATTTCATAAAATAAACAAACAAATCAGAGAATGATAGAATACAATGGTAAAACAAACAATTCATAGAATTAACAAGGAATAATCTCTACGACAGAGATTTATTGTTAGGACTGACTTAGCAGTCAAAGTTTCATTCTACGACCCGAAAACGATGCACATTTATGGTTTATGACGATTGACGGCACACATTCAGTGTATTCACACAAAGTTTTTCACTCGTGATAATGAACATTTGTATTTCATATAATGTACAATTCTCAGATCTAATAGATTCATTCTCATTTTCCTATTTAGATCATGTTCTCATATGATCTACATTCTACATACTAGTATGATCTACATTTACTAGTATTTTGGCATAGTGTTTTTGGAGAATTTCTTTAACTGACTTCTCAATCGAATTTTAAGTTGAAATTTTGTAGAAATAATCTACACTTCATGTAAAACACACTCACAAAATTTTTCACCTCATATCCCGGAGGTGAACTTTTCTTTCTCAATATCAATGTCACTATATCAATTTTTCTTTTGTTATAGGAACCCCTTCAGGTCCCTCTGTATCTCTACCACTGCACCTACGGCCTAATTACTCTGGAGGGACACTTTTTTTACGTTTGCCAGTACCATCAAGGCTGCAAGCTATAGCATTGCTAATATATCTGAGCTACCGGTGGGCGTAGCTCAACTGGTAGGTAGCAAGGGAGTGCCACAAGGGTTAGGTCTCGGGTTCGAATCCCGGCAACTGCGATGAGGGGTTACTATGCTGAAAAATGCATAGGGCCTCTGCAAGTACCGGGGACAGAGCCCCACTCTCTATCTGTCAGATTGTGATTATAGTCCAATTTACATCCTCCCATCGTGCCGTCTGGTCGGTGGTGGGGGGCCCTCAGGGATGGGGTGTCATCCTTTTTTTGCTAATATATCTGAGCTTAGGTATTTGTAGTTCCAGATGAAGCTTCATGTCAGGCCGGCCTGACGGGCTGCCCCGTCCGGCCGAGCCCTTTTGGGCACCTTCCCGGTGGAATTTTTTGATGAAATTTTTTGAGCATGTTCCTCATCAAGTCTAGTTTGTCCATACCAAATTTCAGCTCAAAATTCGATCGGGAAGGTCGTCAAATGATTTTTGCAAGTTAACTGGTCCGGAAAATACATATTCCGGACCAGTTAACTTGCAAAAATCATTTGACGACCTTCCCGATTGAATTTTGAGCTGAAATTTGATATGGACAAACTAGACTTAATGAGGAACATGCTCAAAAAATTTCATCAAAAAATTCCACCGGGAAGGTGCCCAAACGGGCTCGGCCGGACGGGGCAGCCCGTCAGGCCGGCCTGATGAGAAGAGCTCTCTGTAGTTCCATTTCATTGAGTATGATTGTCTCATACTTTCATAGTCACCTGACTCACCTGGCACATATAAGGTTTGTCTGTTTTCTTTGTTTACAAAAGAGAGTAAACTCCAAAACACAAATAATGGAGGGGCCGCACGGCCCGCACTAGAACATGAATATACAGAAGGGGAAGAAAAGATATAGAACGTGTTCTTTTGGAAGACCAGATGACCTGACAAGGGACAGAATTAGAGGACATAATCGTCATATATAATTGTACGTATGTATTCTAATATCTTACTCCCAGAGTCCCAATTTGTCATATGAAATACTCCTTATTTGTGTGGAAGAGATAGAAATAATACACCCCGAAAGAATAACTTAAATTGGAAAGTGACAAAGTTTTAGTTGAAAAATGTGGATGCATTGTGGTATAGGAAAATTGGATTCATTTATGAAAATTTTTAGCATTTTTATTCAAACCTTGATATACTTGGAAGGGAAAATCGCAATTTTAGTTCCTGAAATAGTCATCAAAATGAAATATCAGACCCGTATTTCTGAGATTATAAATATTGCCCCTCAATTGTCCAAATTGTTGTAAATGTGGTCCTTTAAGAGTGAAATGTACCCTCGCCCACATTGTATATTTCACCCCTAAAGGGACCACATTTACGGTATTTTGGACAATTGAGAGATGACATTTACAAACTTGGGAACATATGTCTGACATTTCAATTTCGTGACTATTTCAGGGACTAAATAATTGTCCATATTCATTCTAATTTTT